CAGATATATATATATATATGGGGGGGTAGGGGGTATGTATCTAGAATGAGTATGGATAGGTTAATTTATTATATATATAATATATTCAATTTATAAACGGAAATAATACTTTGCAATTTGTTTTATTTATTGGTACACATGCATATTCAGTCTTGTGTTCTCAATGACATAACTTCGACTAAAAGCCTTCTACAAATCGAAAAACAAATTGCACAATTCAGAGAACAAGAGTCATACAGAGTTGTGGTAGGATTCGAACCCACTTCCTCTAGGCTAAAAAAACGTTTGGCTGACTATGCAACTCAGCCAGGGAGTCGCTTTCTATGCAAAATCGTGAAGTCCCGCAGTGGACTGATCGTTAAGACACGGTTCCCAGCAGATCACCGAAGTCAAGCATCACTGGCTGCGGTCAGTGTGCGGGTGGGTGACCACTTGGATCAGCCTGCGTAGGGACCGAGGGTGTGCGGTAAAGTGCTCGACTTCGCGCGCAGGTCGTCGAGCTACCGAAGCGGGGGTGCCATCCCCTCCGCAGAGGATCAAAATTGTGATGGCATGTCTTCGTATCATCCTCCGGGATGTTTCCCAGACCGTCGCCAATAGCCCATTGGGGAGCTCTAGTGCGACGTAAATTAACAACAACAGCAAAATCGTGAAAACGCCATGCAGAGAACTCTTGCGTCTTTCGGAAATGAAAGTTTAAAGGTAGTAGGGGGGAAAAAATTTAGATGACGCTGCAAGTGTTACAACAATATCTCCTGTTAAAAAAAAAAGCAAGAACTGAGTGTAGATTTACAGGTGATTTTTTTAATAACTGATATGTAATCCTTAATGTTAACGCAATTTCTAGTGTAAATTTAAGCAATTTTTTATGCAATTAATGCTATTCTAATAAACGTGAATATTTGCATTTTCAGCATTCTTTGCATGCGTTGCTTCCCAAACTTGTGAACGATCTCACTATCAGAACTGTTTGAACAAGCTGCACTCTTTCACCGACAGAAAAGATCTGCTATTTGCATCAACAGCTGAACAGTTGAAGGATGAATGCATGTGAGTAAATAAAGTTTCTCTTGTGAAATGTTATTCCTAATTAGGGATGGGTCGAAATTTTTACGTCCTTTTAAAATCTCTCGAAAGTATTATAGTTTTTGGACTCGTTTTAAGAAATTCCGGATCAAATTACGGTAAAAAGTACTGGCACCTTGAGTACGTCATTCGTAAATTCCATTTTACCGTAAAAATGATTTTTATCGCAAAATTTTATGCGTAAATTTTTACAGTAATAATCAATTAATTACAGTGATTCAGTGGCTTCACAGTAAATATTATTGTATAAAAATTACGATTTGACATCTATGTTATTTTATCGAAATTTGACCCGGAATCTTTTTGCTATGGTGCCGGAGTAATTTTCATTCTCCTTTCCTAAAACAAAAATAGAGAAAAAGCTGAATTCAGGATAATTAGTTATTTTATATCAGTCGGAGTTTTACCAAGATTTCTCATAAAAAAATATTATGACTTTGTGGAAAGTTGTGTTTGTTAAAATTAGTAAATAACTGATTAACCTTTGAACAAATGATCCGTTTCTACCCTAAAAAAGATTCAATCTAAATAATTTGAAACGTTTACCTTATGTATGTTTATCATAGTAGTTAATAGTACCTGTGAATTAAATCACTAAAGTAGGCATAAAAACATATTTTCTTTAAATATACACCTATTCATTTTAATGGATCGGGAACTTTTATCTTTGCTGTTGTTTCTAATGCTACTTGCCAATACCAGGAAGCCTGCTTGGTGATACCAAGCGAATTTAAGGCAGAGGGTGTGTTTCTTGCTTTTAAGTGGCACAATCTATGGCCAAGAATACGGCTTCACACATACACGTCACTGCCCGTTTATAGGGCGGTCCCATTCATTCATCCACAGATCGTAATTTTGACCTGAAGCAAAGAACAATCGATATCCAATTCACTACCCCAGAGGTATTATTTGCTATGGGAACATGAAGTACTTTGTTACCCGGCAAATTGAACATGCACCAGTCACTATTTATGTCACTTTAGTCTTCGGCCCCGGGGTTCGAACTCACGACCCCTTGCGCATCACCCCTACACCCTACCAATCTGGCTATCCTGGACCCTCTTTTATCTTTGAAAGAAGGAGTTTACACTTTACTACTTAATACTTAAAACACTTTACGCTTAAAATGTTTACATTTTACACTAAAAAACTTAACTCCAAACTTAAACTTTACTCAACACTTGAAAACTTTAACCATAAATTTCGTTTAGTAAAAGAATGTTATATTTTTTTTTTTTAAATTTGATTTCCCATGATTAAATTTAATAATTGTTAAAAAAAGTAAATTGTATCGCTTAAAATTTTATATCACCTAAACTTATGTAGAATTAACTTTTGCTCTAAATTTAAAATATTTTAACTCAACTTACTTATTGTATCCATATTTATTTCAAATATAACATTTAAATTTAATTTACATATTGTGATTCTACTTTGTTTCATTATTCATCATTATTGTAACCGGGTTTCTTTTCTACTAATAACGCAACACAGAAAACCTAATATTTTTAAGGGATTCACGTCGTCTTGTTATTTGAATACTTTGGGCATTTGGATTGTACTAGAATAATACACTTTTGTTAGTGTACTTTGGTTGTAAGACTATGGTACTCTATCAGAAAAATCTGTTCAGCGTTGAACTAAATTATAGTGCTAGTATTCCTAAAGACCTAATTAAGTAGCATTTTATCTTATTAACTAATTGGCCAATTGATAAAAATTAAATTGTACCATAATTCTGTTGAAGTCGAGCCGATATTAAGATGTTTAAGATGTACGATATTATGATTTGACTTAGCGCTTTAATAAAGTTGCAGTTCAACTTTGAAAATTAGTTCAGATTTCATAATACAATCTAATTTTGTCGTAATAAGGCAAAATGGGATTGTCTTGTGAAATTTAATTGATAAAAATTAAATTGTACCATATTTCTGTTGAAGTCGAACCTGTATTAAGATATTTAAAATGTACGATATTATGATTTGACTTAGCGCTTTAATAAAGATGCGGTTCGACATCGACAATTACTTCAGATTTCATAATACAATCCAATTTTGTCTTAATAAGGCAAAATTGGATTGTCTTATGAAATCTGAAGCGATTTTCGATGTCGAACTGCAATCTTATTATAGCGCTAAGTCAAACCATAATATCGTTCTGTCTTTGGTATTAACTTTCGCATTAAAAATGAATTAAATAGTTCATTACCTTACTAAAATGACAAATTAAACCATATTTTTTCAAGTCAAATTTAATATCGCATAATCTAGTGCAATACTATGGTTCAACTTAGAACTATATTAAAGTGGCAGGAAATGTAGCTCTATATTATGATTCAACACGCTCCAAAATTCTCAACAATTCAGATTATTTTATTCTCTCTATTTTCCNAAATCCTATTTTTTTTCTTTTTAAACTTAACAAAAATAAATATTTTTCACTGAAATAAATGGACTTATAATGCAAAAATAGTACTAATCTTTTATATTTTTATAAAAATGATTCCAAAGTAGGGTTTACTGAAAAAATAATGAATTGTTTATAAAATTCACATTACAAATGAAATAGATAGGAAAGATAAAAATAACTTTTTTATGTTGATGTTCGTTCGAGATGTCTGACGACATTAACTCAACACGTGTTTTTGTAAGCATTTTGATAAACGGTCTTAAATTTTACGAGGCCTAACGAACAACAAACTCATTTTTCACTTTTTTTTATTTTTTATTTTGAACAAAAATTGGTATTGCTCTCTATTGGTGATTAATCGTTGTATTTTTCAAACTAACTCCATATCAACCGCCTCGTTATTTTTTTCCTCTTTTTTGTACAACTATGTATTATTATTACCAAAAAATCTGATTATTTTTTACATTTTGCTTATTTATATTTACATTTAATATATTTTTTTGCAGTTTTTGGAAATAAAAAAACTTAATCAATTATTTGATTAAATAAACTTCTTCATTCATTGTGCAAATAAGCGTTTATTACTTGAACGATAAATAATATGATTTATTTGGAAGAAATTCGTTCTTTTTTCCAGTTTCAGAGCAATTAACTTCACGGATTCAGAATTATTTTTAAATATTCCTAATGTTTATTTTCGTATCTGCAAAAGTAATTATCATTATTATTAGTTAATTTTACTGATACAGAGTTTTTTTACAGATGTAAAAAAAAATTATTTTAATAATTTAAAATAATTGTTCTTTAAATAATTAAAAGAGTTATTTTTACAGATTCAGACTGGTTTTTTACGGATTCAAAATAATTTTCGGATATATTTTTTTTTTCAGAAAAATAAATCAGCTTGATATTTATTGTTCAATAAGATCTTTTGTTTGTGTGTGTGGAATCAGTTTCGTGTTTGTTTATTAAATTGATTACTTTTGTAGCCAAGCAAGGTCAGCTTTAAGTTGTGTGACAAGTTATACTAAAAAATGTCTCTCACCTGAAGAACGTCCTAAATATACAGCAGACTTTTCTGGATCCGAAAGCGTAACTTTGGGATTATGTTCAGAAGATGACTTCAAAACAAGTAAGATGACTTTTGTTTTATGTTACAGTTTATCTAAAAATAATTACCATTTCATACAGCAGAGGAATTCAAAACGAGCAAAATCAATTTCGTTTTAAGTTTTAATTCATCCGAAAATAATTACCATTTTATGTGAAATAAACTATAGTTTTTTTTTGAAGTTTGTAAATATCTTGTTTTATGTTGTCTCTCATGTAATCACGTTTACTTTTTTAGTATGGAAAGTATGCTGGAAAAGTTACTATATTTTTAACTTTCTTACAAATCTCTGAACATACCGCTGACGTAGAGATTTTGTCTTAACAAAAAAATACGATCATAGTTTTAAAATATAATTTTTGGCTTTTTACAAAACTTAGAGGCAGTTTTTTTGTGTTGGTTTCAAAAAAGTGTTAACAACCAAAAATCGTATTTTTAAAACCTGGGAGAGTTGTCCCGTTTTCGATAGTTACTATAATATGAAAATTAAGACCGATGAAATGAGAAATATTTTTACTAGGATATATGTTTTGCAATAATAGACAGCATAATAAAAGCTTTCTTATTTTTATGTAATTATATTTCATGTTTTAATAACTAAATCAAGTTATTCTTATTAGAAATAGAAAGAAAGTTGCTTTCTTATAAAAAAAGGTAGTAAAAGTTTAAGATTCTGTAATTCGGAACAAATACTTGAAAGTAGATTAACAATACATTATTTTGCTGCGTATGCAAAGAATTCTAAATAGTTAATGGTATATGCTGCAATTTTCTCTTCTAGAAATGATAGTGCTGAGTAAGAAAATCATTAAAAACTTATTGTAAAAAATATCTATAGCTTAGAAATATTGTTGTGATTATCCGGAAGTTCGTAATGAGATTTGAGAATATTTCTTAACGCCACTTAAATAAATACCAAAGCACATTTTAAGAGAAAGGACTAATTAAAGAAATAAAAATTCAATTCGAATTTGAGATAAATTTTTAGAATAAATCGGAATTTAATTTTTTGCGAAGTGCAATTGCGTTAACATTTTGATACCCCATGGTAATAGTATATATTCCAAAATTAATTTTATATATAATTTTTATCAGCCATCCAAATGTTACTTCTATAAATGCCTTTTTCCTACAAATCCTATTTTTTTTCTTTTTAAACTTAACAAAAATAAATATTTTTCACTGAAATAAATGGACTTATAATGCAAAAATAGTACTAATCTTTTATATTTTTATAAAAATGATTCCAAAGTAGGGTTTACTGAAAAAATAATGAATTGTTTATAAAATTCACATTACAAATGAAATAGATAGGATAATACATGAAATAGTAATGACTGTATTTGTCCGACGCAAATTCCATCTCGAAATTCTGAATCTAATTTAGTCCTAATTATTACAATATTTAAGCTATGGGTTTATTAAATTTAGAAGAAAAAAATTAAATGAAAATTGAAAACTTTTTTATTAATTATTGAAAGATAATATTATTAGTTAGTTTTCTTCCTTTCTCAATGGAAGACAATTTACATCTTCGAGTGGGCTTTAGCATTCTTTAGAATTCCATTCTAATCTGCCTCATCTTTAACCCTGGTTTACTATACGGTTACTTAAGACGCTCAAGCCTCTTTACAGACAATTATTATAAAATAGTTAATTCAGCAGGTGGAAAAATTCCAACTTTAAACCGTGGCTGGGTGGCGCAGTTGGTTTGTCGTCGGCCTTCTGAGCCCAAGTTTGCGGGTTCGATCCCCGGCCCAGACACCGGATTTTCGGGATGCAGAAAATCCTCATCGGCCATGTCGTATGATTATGCGGCATGTAAAAGATCCCTGGAGTGCCTTATTGGCTCTTGGCATTTCCGGCAAAATTAAATTCCTAGTGCACTTTAGCATTCAAATAGAGTCTTGGTGCTGCCATCTAGTGAGGCAGAAACTAGACGTCCAAATTAACATGACCAACGGTATCTCACCCATTGTGGTGGTCCTGAAAGAGTGGATACCACCTCTGGAGAACGCACTAGGTCTGCTTATCGGCAAGACCGATTGTGCAGCTCATTGGAAAT